TTTTTTTCACCACCGTTGGGGTAGCTCTTTAAAGAAAATAAACACTGAACAATGTTCATCCAGATAAAGATTTCTGGGGAGCTCTCATGAGATGACATGAGTTGAGAGTGTGACCGCTCTACTCTTATGGTCTTCCCTCTGGCCTGGAGTGGCAAAACTCAAAGTACAAGCGCACCTACCGTAACCGTCGGCAGAGTGGACGATTACACCAATGGCCACCAGGCACAGCAAAAGTAGACCTGACGCTTTCATTGGCACAATGGTTCGCCTGCAAAGAGACAGTGACAGCAAGGTCAGAACCACTTCAGGCGGGGACAGGCTTAAAGTTGGTTGGAATTAATTTTTTTAATGTAACCATGCGTGATCTTTTTTGAGGCGAAGGACAAAATATGAATGCATTTACTCTCTCTTTTGGGAGAGTGGTATACGGGTCACAAAAACGTGATGCGCTGACAGGCATTAGAAACTTTATTCACGCAGTATAGATGGAGTAGGCCTGTACGACTCACCTGGTCTCGGAGTACCAACAGACAATCTGCGGATCCTGGTTCGCGTCGCCTCTTATTACGTTGATACGTACTGGCCTTCTTGCCATTTCGACTGATATATAAGCACCTGTGCCCAGACACAGGTGTACTGTGTGTTGTCTTTTCTCATCGCATCCGCAAAAGAGGTAGGGATTACTTTGTTGTTTCTCAACATATGAACACGTGCAAGTTTAATTAAATCCACAGTTGCGACGTTTTTTTTCAATAATTTCATTTTTAATTAGTGTTATATGGTTTAGTAAACAATAACAGAAAACTAAAAACCCAGATACGTCCGATGTGCGGACATCAATAACAGGCATGGAGGAAATTGCACACAGAGTACTTATTATTAAGCTGGGAAATCATGCGTGCACATTTTGAAAAAAAAAGGTTGCAGCAGCGAGTATGCGAGACTTATGTGCCCTTTTGGTTTGCTTCTCCACGCATTAACGACCCGACCTATAGCGAATTTCAGGCACTGGGCCTACTCTAAGAATTTGAAGGAAAAAGTGCTTTCACTGTGAAAGGGATGCTGTTGCTTCTCAAGCACTGATTACCCTCGATATGCTTTCTCATACCATTTCGGAGAGAACTCATGGGATCTCAAACCAGAGATGCAGACAAGAGTCACTTGGACTCGAGTCGGACTTGAGTGGTATCAGTTTTTGACTCGGGTCTTAATGAACTTGCACTTGCAAAAATGAGTTGTGACTTTACTTGACCTGTGATCAAATGACTCTTGACCTGACCTGTAACTGGACCAAATGACTCGTAACTTGTCTTAGACTTTCAAAAATTAACTTGTGACTTGACTTGGACTTGCTACCACGTCTGTCTCGAACCTTTCTGGTTTCCAATCATGAGGGATCCTCCCTGAACAAAACATGACTCCCATGTACCCAGTAAAAGAATCCTCACCTCAAGAAGGGAGTACCAACTAGGAGAGGGGATATATCGGGGGACCTAGATCGAGTCCCGGTGTAGATACAAGTACAGAAGTGGAACGATTACCACCCACGGACCTCCATGTCAAAACTCTGGATAGCTTTATTTCACATGGTTTGTGTCCCTGGTTTGTGTAAGACGCATAGGGCTATAACTACTAGAACGTTAATTCTCATTCTACGTGCGGAGAAAATTTGACGCTGCCCTAGCACAGACATTTTGAATCCATGTGCGTGCTTGTAGAACATTCAAAATCAGATAGAACGAATATCGAATAATGTTTTCTGAAATATAATGCAACACACAAGTACAACACACGCAAACGTCAGCGCGTCTTTTACATAAGGTGCACACGTACAGGGCAAAAGCACATGTTTATTGACATCCATAGCTGATTATTTTAAACGAATGTTTCCTTGTAACAGTCGATCAAGGTCGTCCGATTTCGTAAGCGTATCTTTCGATGACCGTCTTTCGATGAATAAGTTCAGCTACATCGTGCAGTTGTTCCCTTAATTCAGTCAGTGTTAAGTGAGTTGACGGCTCTGGAGCTCTGGCGCAGAGCGAAATGAAACTTTCATTTACTGATTCTGCGTCCAGATTGCGTATCGGCTTTGTTAACGTATCGTTTTAGTATAATACAGATGCAGATAGGTCAATGCATTACAAAAGCCCCTCACGAGCCCCTGGTCGAGTAGAATACGAAAATAACGCTGATTGGCTATTCAGGATGAATATACATAACCTTAAAGTCAGTCGCATGCGTATTTCAAAAGCAGGGTGCTCACGCCCAAGTATTCTCTTGCACGCCACGCCACGCATAAATCTGCATCGTTCGTAAACACGCTGAATAACGTCCTAATTTAAATATCCCAAATAGGAAGTTTAAATTATACAACACCAGGGGTTAGATCGCGCAAGGCATGGTGGGAACCAACATGGCACGGCAAGATCGTTCCCATTGGGAACGAGATCGGTACTAGTCTTGAAAATTTTTGACTGGTTATTGTGCCCTTTGGAGGTTGACCTGAATTGAAACAGTTCAACCTTGGAAGGTTTCTTTCCTAGTTGTATAAAGCAACTCAAAATAAGACTGCGTCTGTGAAAACTAAAATGAAGTGCTGTACCGGTATTGAAAGTTGAATTAAAACAGTCACACTATTGTTTCACCGCTCCATTGTTTTGAGCGAATGGAGCGATAGAAACGATACCTCTCCATTCTTTTGGACGTACCATCCATTCATACTGAATAATGGAATGGTACATTTCCGGGGAAATATACACAAATAATAATATATTGTAAATTATAATGTAAATTTTCAATTTCAAATTTTTCTTCCCCTAACTCCCTTGCGTGTATTTAAAATTGTATTGAAATCGAAGCATGGGGGACTATTCGAGTTTAAGATGCATAAACACTCAATAGGCCTAGTCTTTACGCAAATGCTGCATGCACAAATACAATGCAATATATCGAAAATAAATGAAATACCGGCATTTTGCTGAGCTTGCAATGTGGGTTAAAAAGTGGAACCATCTGTTGCTCCTTGCAGGCAGTAATTAATGCCATTTGAAGCGAGGTATGGGACGGAGAGCACACCCCCCCCGCCTTAGTGTTGGTCATTTTTTGATCGGAATCTCAGGAATTCTTTACAGACTTCTAGGGGGATGTGTGAGGTAACAATAGCCTACAGTGTGTATAGGGGTTGGACAGGGAAGGGGGTACCCCTCTGTCCCATATCTTGCCTGGTGTAAGTAATGCTGTCAGTATAACACTGTACAGTCCACTAGGTCTCAATGCTGAAGTAACAAAGGCAGGATACCTAGGCCGTTTACTGACATTCTTTGATTACAGAACTCCATCTTGAAATTAACTTGCGGGCCGTGCTAGTATAATTTTCAAGACAAGTCCCGCACAGGAATAAAGTCATGAAGTGGAGCTCCCGCAAAGTTTTTGCAGTTTTCCTCTCGATATTACGAATAAATATTTTAATTTAGCGTGGTTTAGGTCATCCTTGAAACGTTTGATGACTTTCAGTGTCGAAACAGTCCACCTTCATCTTTTTACGGTGTTATCCACGGTTCTGTAATTAGAATGTAAAAAATCTAAAACTCAATTTTTAGGATTACTAATGAACTTTGAGATCGGGCTCAGTTCAGATATGAAATATTACAAATACAGTGATGATGAGCAGCTCAGATCATAGAAAAACTTTTCAGTAGGCTACATTGGACAAAGAAATAGTGAAGTTTATTATGCTACTTCATTTGCATGGACTACGGTACATGTGCCGATAATGTGAACATCAGCGTTGCATTTGGTAAAAAAGTGAAATGATTGCTTTTGTATTTGCGAGAAAAAAGAAAGGAGTCCGACATGCATCCTCGAGTTATTACTCCACATGTTTTCTTTTAGCGTGACGTATCGGTCTTGCTTCTGGGGTAAGGTCAAGCGGCCCACAGGGTTTCAGCTTGAAAGATCAGCTGGTTCTACATGTATTCTAATTCCACTTATGATAACACGCCTTCAATATATTATATATGGTATCAGTGGGTATTAATCGTCGGTGTCTCCATAGCAAAAACAAAATCACTGTCGCTGTCTCATGTTATGGCCACATCCCAACAATACAGTACTTTGGCTTATTGATTGAGGAGATGACCATGGGTGGGGCTGAAAATCTACACTGTTACCATATTGCAACATAATTGATTGTTGCGTTACAGCGGTACACCGAGTGGTCGTCTACCATAAGATTTGTACCAAGGAATGGATTAAAGCATTTGGCCTACTTCCAATGTACATGCAACAAAAAAAGACGCTCCAGTCGTACGAAATAATGGAATGGAAGACCAAAAACGTGACCTCCAAAGCAGGTGGAGGTTAGTAAGTCGGATAATACCTTCGGTATGCGCCATTCGTGGGTAAAAAGTCTTACCAACGAATGTTGCGTACAGTACCAAGGGGATTATCCTCAACTTATTTTGGGGGGAAACGGGGAATGGCCCGTGTGCCCCCCCCCGGACGCAAATTGTTTGTAGATTAGCTATAGAGGACAACGACTGAAACGGCAAAATTTCTTTTTACACGTATATGGACACACATACCGAAGTTGGAGGTTGGTGAGGAATGTCAGAGGACCCAACCCGTCAAATGACACATGATCTAGTAATATCTCGGAGGTGTCTTTCAAACGGAAAGGCACAAATTACATAACTCTTGCCGTGAAAAACCAATCTCTTGCAAACGGTTGTCGGGGCCTCGGTAAGAGGGGTAGAAGAATTTAGGTTTACAGAATTAAGAAAAATTTTGTCCAACCCAGATGAAGGCAATCCAAGCATGACATCTTAAACTCACAGTAGCGCGTATTTCTTCATCTTGGACTTCACATTCCGCAATAAGGATTTTAAAAGATCGTTAAGTTGGGGGGGGGGCTTCAAAAACGTGTGTACACGAACAGACCACCGTATGAATGCTACTGGCATATATTAACGTACACAATTCTCAGAGCAAGAAGACGTGGAAGCGTTTTCTAAAACAAAATGTTATAGCTTTATTAAATATTAATCATGCATCAAAGAAACAGAATATCTTTGGTGCAGTGGATTATTTCAAGCCTTTTCTTTGGAGGTAACAGTAAGTACGGCTAAAAATTATGGAATACAGAGATGTTGTTATCTGCACAATTATTTTATGGGGGCAAACTTGAGTGCTGAAATCCTCATGACTTGGGATTTATTTCTTTCTTCAAACTTACAAATAAATGTACCTATATGTGTACCAGATTTGTTAATATCCTTCGCACTGATGACTGCTACATAATACAGACGAACTCGGTTATTTCGTAGCACCATTGGCAACTAATATACATTGTAATAAAAAAAAAATTATGTTTTACTTATCACTGTCAATACACTTCTGGACGAACTGGTAATTCTCTATACACTTGGTGGCTTTATACGTTGTAATATAATTTTGTTGTGACTCGCGATTCGTTTAATGCCAGGATGGTAATATGTTATTTCAAATTAAGTTATGATCAACATTAGACACTTTAAACAAAAGGGGATTGTGTATCTTTTTATCCTCTGTCGAACTGTGAACTAGAAACGCGAAAAATGTCTTGCATTTTATCATTTTAGATTTGAAAACACAATCATGCAAAGTGCCTTGTATGGTCTAGTTTTCGGTGTACATTTTACAGTGTAGTTGTATAAGCGAAATGCACTGCAAGCACTGCGCAGGCATAAACAGGCATGGCAAAGCATAGCTACATGTAGTTATGCCACACGAAAGAGCGAAGTCACTCCTCTGGTCATAGCTCAACACCATCTGGTGAACACACAATGTTTGTAGTCGCTATTATGCGTGCATCTGATGACGCACCTCCACTAGCCGGACTTGAAGAGCAGCACAGCCACCTGACCCAGGTAGAAGTAGATGAAGTGCTTGGTCTCGTGCGTGACGTAGCTGCCGAAGTTCCTGCCCACAATGCAATGCCAAGTGGGGTTGTACTTCCGGTCGAACTCTTTCTTGATGTAAGCAGCGATGTCCTTCTCCACATTGAACTTCTCCATGGCCTGGGTGGCACACTCGATGGCATCCTGCTGTACATCTTCCGCCATGTCGGCATTCTTAACGACGGCTTTGCGTTCAGACATGATGATACTCCTTGTGGCGGTTCTGCAGACGATGGGAACAAACGATGGAAAGATACGATTAAATAAACTTGATCGACAACAAATCAGCAAAAATCCACCCATTTCATACTCGGGCATACACAGCACTGGTGAAATCAGTGACATGGTGTCATAAGACAACAGACAATTCGGATCGCACGCACTTACATTGTGAACGTCAAATTTACATCTTTCCCAATTGGAACATTCCAAATGTGATCACACTTCTTTGACATAATTTCACCAAAACCAAACTAATAAGCCGATCTTTCAAGAAATGCGCTTTTGACGTTTGACAGAAAAGTTCCCTCACACTTCTGTGTTAGTCCTTGGTATGGACCTTTAGCGTAGGGCGTAGCCAGTCGTCGGTAGTCACATTGAAGCTGCGTGCATTGTGTTTTATCTCCTCTAGCTCAGAGACGATCGCCTTGTGTACATTGTACAAACAGTTTTCCTGCTCCGGAATGCGGGTCACAGTCTTCTGATCTGGTATTCACTTTTCTCCCAGAGTGGATTAAGCATTGTGCTCTATACAATTAACCGATACCCTGGGTACCAATACTGCCTCCAGCCAAGAGTGTAAGGCCGTGACAGTTACATGAGAGCACTATTCACTGTTTTATTTTCATGGAAATTCCAGATCGCCAGTGAGGATTCCGTCCATGGTTGTTCTAGGGGTATAGATCTTCTGCCAAGCAAACCATTTCAAATCCCTGTAACCTGATTGGTCGTACAACTGATGCATCCAAGTATTACATATAAAGGGGCAATTGTTCAGCTTGAAATCCCTCTAAATCACCCCCAACGAGCCGAAGGGCCTACATTGCTGGCAGGCAGTTTCACACCCCCTGGGGAGGGGGGGGTTCCGTTACTACCTCCCAATGGATACACGTAGGACTAGGAGCCTATTCTTATTTATGTCGGCCAGTGGAAGTGTAGAAAATAAAATTAGACTAAGATGGATGTGCCTATCGTATTTCTGAATACCTGAATAACAAATACATGTAATCATATAACGATATTTAACCTTAAAAATGTTACGGGAAGGAAATTGGATTGATAAGATAGAAGATGCAGAAAGTAATAAGTGTACGTATAAAGCCTCAAGCCCAGAATAAAAATTTTAAATAATCAAATTTCTACAACGAATGTCATTTTAAACATGCATGGCTAAACGATTCTACCTGTGATTCATTTATAATATTTTTGCACACACAAATTGGGATCGTTGGAGATGAGATTCGGCTAATTCTGCTCACATCGCATACTTACTTTTTGTTGTTAAAATAAATTACCAGTTGATGGCTGACGATCGCTTATGGACTGTGCACGTACCTCCGGACACGTTTCACGAGTGAGCAGAAAACAACCCCTAATCTGATGTGGTGATGAAGTGGTTTCACCTCTTGTGTACCCCATACCCAAGAGCTCCGGGGTAACAATTATTTTCAGTTCTGATTGGTTCTTCTTGTAACAGGTGCTCGGTAGCTTTTAACAAAATATGCAGAAATACTGACATGCTATTGGCTGCAATCAGAAATATCTCGTGTTCTGTTCGCCATTACTTTAGAAAATCCACACGGCACCTTGTAACAAATAGCAATGACCATGCGCATACTAATTTGACGTCATGATCAATTCGACTGGTTTCACAGTACTTTAATCGTGGGATGGAAACGAAGCATGGGCACAAAGCTTGCGGCGGAAACCAGATTGTATTGATCATCGACTAGTAGTGCGTGCATGCTTAGCGCGCGCGCTGCTGTGTATTGTACATGTACACTGTATATGTCTTGTACATGTACATATATGAGCATGGACACATTTACATGTGCAAATACATATTGATCTTCTTTGTAAAGGCGATCGTGTATATCTCGTTCTTGTCGTTGTATCGCGCAATATCCTTGTTCAACACCCGTGGTATCAGCGATATCGAGTTCAAATGCTTCGTTGTTTCATCAGTTGACTTGTGAGCGAATACAATTTTGTTAGCTCTGTTGCCAAATAACTGTTACCTGCAAAGTTGCACAAATTCTTCAGTCGTTCAGAGCGTAGACTAGCTAGCACTGTAGCACTATAAATTGTAATAAATATGGCATATTACAGCCGTGGCGGAGGCTCCCGCTACGGTGGTGGCGACGTCCCGACAGACGGCCGAATTTATGTTGGCAATTTGCCCCCCGACATTAGAGAAAGAGACATTGAAGATTTGTTTTTTAAGTACGGCAGAATATTAAATATTGACTTGAAGATGCCCAAAGTTGGACCTCCGTTCGCGTTCGTCGAATTTGAAGATAAAAGGTGAGACTCAGCCACGTGAACAGGTGTAGGCCTGTAAACTGAATGAGCTAGACTTTCTGCGCTTTGTTGAATTTGATTATCGTTGGGCATTGTACAATGTATTGATGCACACCGTGGCTTCCTCTATTTTGTAATGTAAGATAAAAGGGTAAAAGTGTGTAAAAATGAACATCCTGCAGTGGGGGGGGAGCAATCCTTAGACGTGTTCATAGTAAGGCTGTTTAAAATTCATTCATAGATTTACATGAAGTGGAACAAAAAATTGGTCGGCAAACGTCCTTAAAAAGTGAAATTTAACTCAGAAAATTCTGAAGCATTTAGACCTACTTGGAAACACTTCAGTTTCTGAAAGACAAGTCTCCTAGGTTTGTGCACAAGGGCATCAAGTGTTGTCCGTATATGGAACTCTCTCCAAGAGTTCAAATGCCCCAGTTAAATGGTGTAGGCAGGGAGGGCAATTAATGTTTTATAAAATCAACCTCTTCACATCTGAAGTACATGTAAATTGAGGGCTGCAACATCTGATTTATGGTAACTTACCTAAGAGAGGACACGAAGAATGAAAGTTGTCAACTTGGCTATGCAAAATGGATTCTGGATTCACATTACTCAGACTGGAACTAAATCATGTTGGGAGGGGAATTTGTATTTTATTATAAATTTGACTTTCCTCACATTCCTCATGATGTTCAGGCTGGTACTAAAACTAAAAGAGGACACGGCAAACATGGAAGTTGTGGTTTACAACATTGTCACAAGATTTATGCTAATATATATGGGAATTATCATTATTAGTCGGAAGGCACATCAGCTATCTGCCCTGAGTTGAAGTGCACCTTCGCATGCGAAAGAATGACAGTCTGATATGAAGTTTTTCAACAGGGCTCTTACACGCATTCGACGTGCATGGGAAGACCTTGTTGGTGAGAAATTTGGAAAATATTTTTTAGTGAAAAAGGAAAACACTCCAGTACTGGTATTCGACATCTGCATATTTTCAGTCGCTGAAATTGGTAATTATTCGACTTTTTCTGACAGTATCCTCTGCAAAATGACGACTGTAGGCCTTCAGTTAAAAATTTGGGTGAAACAAAAATGTAGAGGTTTCCTAAAAGTGAGGATCACCCTCGTAGGGTGTCAACCCCCACAAACTCCTAAAGTTAGTTCTGACTAACCTTTCTTGTATTACAGGGATGCAGAAGATGCCATTCACTTTAGGGATGGCTACGATTATGATCGATACACTCTGCGAGTTGAGTGTCCGCGGAGCAGTGGGGCTCGTGGAAGCTTCAGTGGTGGTGGTGGTGGGGGAGGGGGCAGAAGAGGAGGCCCTCCACCAAGAAGGTCAAAGTACAGGTGCATTGTATCAGGTACGTGCAAATTAGTTTTCAATGTATAGTTTGTATATTGGCGACTAACCACATTAGCCTGGATAGGTCATTTGGTTCAGTTTCTTCTTTTGCCTATGTGCCAATGCCTCCATGTTTTTCTGATATACTGTACATTGTTGTCAGTTGTCATTTCATTTCATTGTTTAGTACTTTTTGGAGAGAAACATCTTGGAGGCAAGAATGCATTACCCATGTTGTGTGATGACTTTTTTGTTTTGCTATTTGCAGTTTGAGAATTTAAGGTTGGTAGGGCAAGCATTTGATTTCCACCTGCCTAAATTGTCAGCCTTTAGCCACGTTGTATCACATTTTTTGGTTACACTTACAGAGACTGTTGTCGATTCGACAAAGTTTAATCCAATGCAGGCAGCCGGTAAACCGACATCAGTTGTTGTTAGTTTTATCTTCCACATTGAAAGCTTTGCGGAGCCAATCTGATCGCAGAAGAATTACGTTGTCCGTTTTATTCCACAGAAAAGTCCTGTGTGGATGGCCCCTGTATTGTGAAACTTAGATGTTGATCACATGAATGGATCAGGGCATACAGGCAGCATGACCTCTGTTGTTTCCTGTGCATGCGCAGATCAATCCTCCTGAGATTTTGAGAAAGCATGCCATGCCACTTCAGTTTAAGTGACCAAACTTGAATTTTTCTGGGTCGCGAGTAATCTGTATATGGAAGTAGGGAAGAATGACCCTGATGGCATGCTAACGAGCACTGGCAGTAACTTGCAGTTTTGGTTTAATGCCACTGTCGCTTTTGTGGACAGAAACATTTGCTTCTCTGTTTCATTTTGCAAGCTGAAACATGTTGTTCAGCAGTTTTTGTATGAAATAGTTCGAGTGATTATCTGTCAGGACAGTTGGATCCTCCCATAAATAAATGTATGATAATTGTCACTGCAGGACTGCCTTCTACCGGTAGTTGGCAAGACTTGAAGGACCACATGCGCGGGGCTGGTGATGTCTGTTATGCAGATGTATACCGGGATTGCACTGGTGTAGTGGAGTATGTCACCGAAGATGACATGCGATATGCTTGCAAGACTCTGGACGACAGCAAGTTTTGCTCACACGAGGTGATGGCAGATCAAAGTAGACCTTGCTTCTGCTCCAATATAAATGTCCCTTTGTTTGCTCCCGTTTTATTATGCCTTAGATAGTTCCTTCATTTTTTTCATCTGAAATTAAATTTGTATGTTTTTGATGTTCGTGTTTTGATGGGTGTTTTCCCATTTCATTCGTGCAGGGTGACACATCTTACATTCGTGTGAAAACTGACTACAGAGGTGGGCGCAGCCGATCCCGAAGTCGGTCTCCGAGGCGCTACAGCCCCAGGCGGAGCCCGAGACGTTCCTCCTACAGTCCCAAGCGTTCCCGGCGCTCCTACTCCAGGTCCAGATCCCGCAGCCGATCCAGGGGCCGCGACAGCCGCTCCCGCTCTCGTTAAGTTGTCCAAACGAGGCCTGATGTTGCCCAAGTACATGTAGTTGCTATTTACACGGAGACCTGGACCTCAGTTTTCACAGGGACCAGGATGACAAAGGTTGGTCTCAAAGAAGCATGAGAAACAGACTAACAAAGCAGTTAATTACTGTAGACTACCTTGTATTTTATTGATGCACTCTGCCCTACTTAGAACTTCCAGATTTTCACTTTTTGCATACTTTTTCTGGGGACAGGTTTTCATTGCTTTCGTGAGGCACGGTGTTAACAGATTGTGTAATACACGTATTGTCGCTTCATTAAGTTTGCAACCTAAAATGCAATATTCATGTACTGTAATTTTTGCTGTTGCGTGTGGACATTCATAGTCATGGTAGGATTAGAAAAGTGAGATTTAGTGAAGCAGAAATGTAGTTTTAATTTCACCTTTTAAAAAAAGTTTCTCACGGTTAAAAGCATTTTTCCCCACGAGCGTACTTTGAATTTCGTAAGCTGTTTAAGTGATGACTTTTTTGAACCTTGTGTTCCTTCTTTTTAAAGTGGTACATCTAATCCGGCAAAGGCAGTGGGAAAAATCTAGGAGTAGGTTGATGTTCACAAATGTATATATTAGCATCAAAGAAGACTTCAGCATGTGTTGGTGTTTGTGTTCAGCATTATTAATACTTAGATTGTCCACCAAGACTGCCCTTGAATATTTCAGCAACATTGCATATGTCACCTGCCTGCTGCTGTTCATTAGGCCAAACAAAAAATTAGTTGTGTCTCCTATTACACTGAAAAATAAATTAGAGTGGTCGGTTGGGTAATTTTTTTTTACTCTAAATGTTTATGGCCCAAAAAAGTAGTGTTGGATGATGGTCTGTATTGTTTGTTGGGGGGGGACATATATTTGTAACAGGTACCAGTACCAAGCAGTGATGTAGTCGAGTACTTTTTGAGAACCAAGCTCTCTACCAAATATATAACTTGTTAGGAGGGAACAAAGCTGAAGTACATCGGCATTTGATGATACATGCATAAAGGTAAGATTACAAAGCAACATAATGACTTCAGACCATCACTGTTTGATTAAAATTAACTTTTTAGGACAAAAGCACTCGGAAAGTACTCAGCCGAGTACTTTCCGAGTACTTTTCTCCTTAAAACTTAAAATTTACACAACTGGGAATGTCTGAAGTCTAACATTTATTTTGTAATCTTACCTTTGCACATTTACCATCAAATGCCTGTCCACTCTGGCTTTATTCCCTCTTACCCAGTTCAGTATTTTGCGGAGAACGTTGGTCCTCGGAAAGTACTCGACTACAACACTGGTACCAAGTGAGTGCCACATTAATACTGTACATGTGCTCGTCAGTATTACATATCAGCACTGTGATAGAGTAGTAAAGCAGCTGGTTGTTGAAATACAAACACACAAGAGTGGTCCATCTCATGCAGAAAAAAATTAAAACAATGCAATGTACAGAATGATGTACACAAAATTAGGCTCAGAGCAAGGCACTGTAAGTTTTATATTTTATTGATTTGTCGAATAAAAATGATACGGGTTCCGCGTGATTTTCTAAGTTGGTTCAGGTAACCGGAAACCACAGCTGTTTTTTTTGTTTGGCCTTGTATAAGTAGGGCAAAGTAACAGAAGGGAATTTTGATTTAGATGTGTGTTTTAAAGATCCAGATATTGGTATCAGTTTGTTTTTTTTTGCATTTCCCAACAACCGACGTCTTGATTCACTCCTTGTGGTGTAGACTCTAGAAGTTGTCAACAAGTTTTTAGTTTTATTTGATGTTCTCATATTTGTTGTCATTCAGAATTTCTAATTTTGTTTACTCCTCAAACATCGTGTTAGCTTCAAGCATTGGTAGGTAGGGATTATTGTTTCTGAAAGGAAACGGTTAATGGTTGTGTAGCACATGGTATAATATATTCCAGATAGGATGCGTTATCCACTGATAATCGACAAATTTTCTGAAGGGTCAAATTTTCTACAGCTCCACACACAAAAACACACAAAAAACAGCCCACCCAAAAAAGTCCTGAATGTTTAACTTCTTGTATGTGTTTTCAGATAGGTAAGTGAGTACATATATACATGTACATGTATATTCATTTAGTGAATTTGTTTCTCTGGGGTGTGGTTGAAGGGAGATTTCATGAAAGTTACAACAGAAACTTGCCAAACACAGAAAATGTTTGATGGGCCTGCAAGGGTAACCAGCTTGAAGTTGGTTCTCAGGTTTTTGCCAAGCATGTAACTTTCTGGATCAACATCTGCTGAGTTTCGCGTTCAAATCTGGCCAAGATTTCATAAAGATATATGGTGCAAGGCTGATGTAGAGAGGCATTTTTTACTTACTGCAACTATTTAGTATAATAGCCTTTATTGAGATATCACTCACTAAACTGTTGCAGAATGTTTCATTTAGTACTCGCTGTGACTCATGTTAGATCTAATGTCTTCTTGTGTTTTTCCAATATTCTCAGTGTCGTTAGGATGGACTTTCTGAATCTCGGATTCCATAGGATAGCACTGGAATCGAGGAGTCCAGGAAAAGGAATTAAAAAACAAAAGACAAATGTTTGTCATGACGGAGTCGGGAAAAGAAGGCTCAGGTTTTGGAGCGGCTTTTTGAATTTTTTGGAACAAAGGATTTCTGACGGGGAATTGGATCAAACTTGGAAAGGGAACAGGATTTTTCACAGGATGGGAAGTTTTGGACGAAACGTGGATGGATTTGATGGTATGATTTAAAAGTCGATGTTGCAAGGGCATGTTTGAATCTAGCACAGTTCAGCCTGCTTCACAAACTTAGAGTGCTGGTACATTTCTCTGTGAAAGATGCTTCATTTAAAAGAAAAAAGCATGCAAGGGACATCAAGGGAAAGATCAGCAATAGTTGTGGGATAACCTTTATTGCTTGGGCTGACAGTAAACACCTTTTCTGTCAAGGCCGCTTATATCAACCAAATGAATGTATAAATTTTGTTCTGAAAGATTTCTTCACATCGATATTTGCCTGCATGTATTCTGGTGTTAGGGCCTGCTTTACACTCTTGAAATTTATTTAAAAAAAACAGTTTGAGTGCCTCTTCCTTTCTTTTTTTGTTGCATTTCTTCACAACACTTGGGCACAAGAAGTTGATTTCATTTGAATTTTAGGCTGATTTTGATTTAGACATGCCCTTTCAGATTTTAATGTGCATTTTCGAGTAGACTCAAAGGATTTTAAACACGTGCATTGCAGTGTAAGTGTACGATGTATGTCATCAAATCTGCTTTTGGATTGCATGCTTGTGCAGTTTGTGGTTTGTTTCTGTGTTCGCTCGACTATTCACATTGTATGCAGCATCAAAGTTTCATTTATTTAGGGAAGAATGAGATATTATTTTAAGTTTCATGTAAATCAAATTGGACCCAAGTGCGTAATTGTTCATTTTACTCCTGCCATTAACATGCGTTCTGTCAGTGAAATAAAAGTATGTGTCCAGTTATTTTTAAACATTTTTGGGTTGCTATCGGACTTTTAAAGAAGGCATTGCTTACATGTACACCCAATGAGATTGCGTCAGGTTTCTCCTTTTTGTTTGGTCTCACCTTTAAAGTTTTACCCTTGTCTTGCCAAACAGATTCCCACTTCCCCACGGTTGGACTTGGTCCAGCTTGTTTGAGAAATTCAGCATCAGTCTTTTTCTAAAGAAATCATTTTAACCTCCATTTTTAACTTTTCTTTCAAGGTTTGGTCAGTCTAAAGCGAAGGATAAGGACAAAGCTGTTACCAATCATTTGGAAGACGGGATGAATTGCACATTCTGAATTGGGATTTCTCTAAGGAAAACTTCACAGGATTTCCCCTTGCAAAGGATTTTCCTTTGGAAAAACATTCAAAAGGATTTCCTAGCGGAGAGCTGTAAAGGACTGCTCCTATGGAAAAAACCCAAGGAAATCGGGACTTTTCATCCCGCATCACAAGGAATTCAGGATTAGGTTTTGACTTCTTCCAATACTCACTTTACCCTTACTGCCTTCCTAAACAGAATACCCTGTAAACACATCTCCAGATTTTTTCCCCGGGAGGGGGGGAAGTCCAGAGTCGTCCCTGCCACACATGGGTAGAGATCCAGGGGGGGGGGGGGGGAAGTGATGGGGAGATAGTGTCATCCCCACTTTTTTGTGGGGGGGGGTTATCAATATAATAATCCACCCACTTTCCAAGTCAGTGACTTTATGCACAGCTGGCTTTGCGGCTGCACTCCACCAGGTGGCCCTTAGCACCCCCATGAAGTAGGACTTTAGACCCTGTGCTGTCCTGCTCCGCGTCAGGGTGACCTTTCACAAATTACTACACCCCACATGTGACAATAAATCTCCGCCCATGCTTCCAGATGGGCTGCAACACATGTACATAATCTCATGGTTCTAAAGCATTTGTCCATGTGTGTGAATAACCCCAAGATCCTGGTTTCTCATGAGAGAAATGATCATAACTTGAACATTCAAGAGAATTTGGCATTAGGGGAATGTAGGCCTATGGCACTCTTTAGAGAATCGGGGAACTTTTAACTCACTCAGATGAGTTCTGATTTTTCCTTTGGTTTCGGACACGGTAGACTTGGAATACTCCGCTTACACACGGAACTGAAATTGGACAGCAAATTGTTGACTGAATCTTTGTTCCTCAAAATGTGTCACATATTGAGACCCAAAACAAGGAATTAGAATCGTTTTTTTGACATTTGAGAAACTAATGCATGACGTCGGCTATTCTGGACTGGATTGGATTGTGAAAGCCACAGAACAAAAACCATCGTGAATCATCCCCAACCGAGGACAGCTTTGTCAGCCGTGTGATCCATTTAGGATGAGAAAGAGGCTTGACAGAACACCTTTTAAAAGCAGAGTTGCAGGCTTGTCAATTACGAATAATGCTGATGAAGAGGACGTACGAATTCACCGATGGGATTTTTGGTGGGAATGTATATCAATAGAGAGAAAGAAAAAGAAAACTGCTGGTTCTCACTTAGGGGTTTGGAATCACAGATTATCCAAACAAGGACGTGCGTCTCTGAGTGCGGTGATGTCAGACTTGAGGGCAACGTCGGTGCTGAATTTCTTCTACCGCACAGGTGGACCAGCAGATGATGTAATTTTCCACTTTAGCTGTAACTACTGCAATCGAGGAAGAAATGCTTTTGTTCCATGGAACTTACTGGAGCCATTATTCGTGGCGATTTGGATACTGAAGCTAATGGCAGTTCCGGTTTACCCAGGCATTATCCTTGTCAAAGATAAACGGATCCTCTACCCTCTTGCTTCTGATCCGACCTCCCTTTTTTCTAAATGGCGAATCTTTTCGGGAATGGTTTGTGCTACCTTTTGTTCAACAGCTTGCACTTCCCTTTTAAATGGGTACTAAATACCAGTCAGTGCAAGAGATCCTGATCGTCCAAATCACGAATAGAACCAATGCTCAGTGTACATAAAGATAATTCATTTTTTGGTACCGTTACAATGATCCTTTATAAACATTGGCCTGAGGATCGGCTAGCATAATAGTTTTGTTGTACAGTTGACTTCTTAGACAGCCTTGACCCAGGAGCTTCATCGACGCTCATCAATGGTAGGTTTTATTTTTGAAACACATGTACAACGTGCCCCCTGAATACATCCAAATTCACCCTCGAGAATAAGCTCAACTGAGCGGTGGTTGCAGTTTCTTGAATTACGTGTTTTAGTTTTTAGTGTAATACATTATTAAATTGCATTTTTCTTCATACCAGGTTCAAAACGTTTGATCAAAAAAGTCCTTGTATGCAATGGCAATGTGGATTTAAGTCAAGATACAACTAAATGGTTTTTCTTTCCATCTTCTGTCTTTTTTCATCGACATACTTGATGAGTGCCCTGTGAACATTTCGCAAATGAAGAACGCACAAGAATTAAGACCAGGTTTTCATGACTGAGTATACGTGTATTTAATAAAAGCACCCTGAAATCTGTACACAAGATACTTTGACCCAAACAATGTCTATCAAATGCTTTGTGTTTTTTTCTTGGGAGAAGGCCTACGGCATGCTAAAAAATATAAGGGATAAAAAAATTGGCAAAAAATTATTATTAAAACTCAAATTTCATATACATTACTAGGATTGAGGCAGTAGGCATACCTCCAAGTAACATTTTCAAGACCTTTTGGAGGATTGCGGGAGAATCCAATTTTTTAACCCCCCCTCCCAAATTGGAGGATTCTGGAGGATTGAGGCGGGTCCCTTGCAAAAAGGGCAGGGGGGGTTAAGGTTAATGAATTTTCATATAGCAACCCGCAGAAATGTATGTATGACTCGTAAAATTTGACAGTACGTTTTCAGACTACCAAAATTGCCAGGGCCCCCAGGTTTGAAAAAAGAAATACAAAAGGAAATGAGAACTTTCGGAAGACACTTGGCTCATGTCGCACTGAAATATTTGCTTCCAGAGTAAGCCCACAGCGTTCAGGTGAACATGTACATAAACTCATGTCAGGGTAATGTGCTCTTGACGTTCTGAGAAAACTTAACATTGTTAAAATACAGCTCATTTATACAAAAATATAAAAATACTCTCATACATTTCTTACCGATCTATGATCAAACACATTACAGAAAAATTTACAGTTCATTTTCATCATTTTTTTTTGCTTTTCTCTACTGACAACATGGAGGTATTTGTGTCTAATGAAGTACTTTTCACCCAGTCAAATACAGATTTTCTTTGAAGATCATGACACCTTCCGAACAGGACACTGAAAAAAACATTGAGATTAAAAAGGAACTTTCCAAGGCTTGCTTTTGTAGTTACATGTTTGACTAATAATTGCTACATTAATTTGATCCCTCCTTTATGCAATGTAACCCTGCATGTCCATCAGCTTAGGTCAGAGTGGAGGTACACTTAACATCCAGAACTCTATTCATTTGTTAAGTACATGTATTCCCAAATGCATCCCAACACTTTAAACTACATTTGATCCCTTAACGCTTAAAAGTGTCACTTTTGTACACCTAGGCATCTTATCTTGAAAGTTGCAGATTGAAAATGTAAAATTAATAAGCCTTTCATGTCAGTAACTTCCACTCAATATCTTTCACCCCCATACCCAGTCATTGTTACAGTGTAGAATGCTACAGATGAACAGTGCATTATTTCGTCACCAACACCACGAAGTAACACAAATCTATGGATGTGTGCGCACTTCTACGCATATTTTATAGAAATGTGATATTTTCGTCTTCAACGTATATTTTATAGAAATGTGATATTTTCGTTTTCATGAAGAGGCACAAATGTCTTGCGTCACGTGCTCTGTGATTTGCTGTATTCAGAAATTGACGTTCTCCTTGATTTGCACATTTACTAGAGTTAAGAGTATTTTTTTCAGTTTAGTCACCCATTTACAGGTAAAATAAAATGATTTTAGACATATAAAGCCTTTTTCTATGCTACATTGACAAAACACACATTTGTGCTTCTTCGTGAAAACGAAATTGTTCGATAATGCATGAGTTCACAATATGCGCGCACACACATTTGTGTCACTTTGTGAAACCAAAACTGCTCTAATCACGCTTTTCACGAACTGGCACAAAAGTGAAGATGTGTGTCAGTTTGTGGTGTTGGTGACGATTTATGCTCCAGTGGTGAAGTGCCATTAAGCCTCATGCAAATAAGTTGCTAGGTGTGTGCTTTTTAACTCCTCCCGATCCATTCACTTTAGACTGCGAGGGTTCCTGTTGCACAATGTTGAAGGTAAAGAAGGCTCTCAGTAAAGCTACATGTATTGCCTGTTATTTTCCACACACAGCCGCGTGTTTTGACGGTAGGGCGCTATCATTTTCAGTAACAGTCAGACGGTGCAACGTCAAATATATGTTAAAATGCTGGGAAGGTATGCCTGGATTACATTCCATCAAAGGGACAAAACCAAAATAATCAATCTGTTTCTGCAGCTTGGAAATGTCACCTTTGCTTTCAAAAGCATGTAACATTGTAAGGCAGTGATCACTGATTACATCAACAAAAGCATAATTTGAGTATTGAATGATTTCATTTGACTACAGAAGTAGAAATTGAAGTCGAAGTAAAATTAAGGCGGGCGTTCCAAACTGCCAATTCCAATGCTTTCTCCCCATCCGAACTGAGCCCAGTGAACACATGAAACATCAGCATCTTCAAAGTTGCCCCAACAGTTGGTCAAACACTGAATTGCAGAACGTAACGGGGGCCTGGTGGCCTGTCTGTCCCTCAACTAAATTCCTTGATACCAGGCACATCAATGCTTTTAGCTGGCTGTTCCTGTGCCCAAGGGTTGCTTCTCAGATGGGGTGTCTAAAACAGGTCGTTCTAGCTCGTCTAAGTTGATGCCCTTATCCCTGATAGCATTCTGAAAACAAAGCATAAGTACACTGTACCATGAAAAACAGATAAATTCACGCGAAGCATCTAGCAGGGCATTAAATAATACACTTCTGGTTTGACCATCTCCGTGACTGAAATTTTGCATGTCAATTTTGTCACTGCTCTCAAATGTTCTTGAATTTAACATTTAAAAATCTGAGACAGATTCCCACATGCAATGTTAAATGTGAATAAAGCATTCCTGAAATTTGTTATGATCTTATGTGCAATTTTGCCAGATTTGGAAGGCTCTTGGTCTAACACGGGGCATATTTCCCATGCAGCTTGGGTTGGAAGCCAATATTCATCACATTAAAACTGATGTACACTGTACATACTGCATGTAGCAGTATTCATGAGTCCATCTACTACTACTAGGGTAAGTTCCCATTCTTGCATAATAAACGTGACAACACTAAGCTGCAGAGTCAGACAGTTGGTATTCTTATTATTTCTGGAAATGACACCAAGCATTACTCAAAAGTGCTCTAGGCAGTGTAGCTCACAAGTCTGAAGAAACCCCTCGAGGGGAGACAATGAGAAGCAGTCACAGTTTGGTGGGAGCAAGGAGGTAGGAAAAGACCCTAACCCCCAGAACTGTGGGGTCCAACGTCCGCCCTAGGTTGACTTGAAATGCAAACCCATTTAAAAGAACTTACTTTCACACAAGTCTGATATTTTTTGAAGATTTCTGCACAGGCATCATTGTAGTCACCCTTCAAGAACTTCTCACTGAACCACGCGTTGAAGCAGGCATCGTATTCTTTCTTCAGCTGATTGCAATCTGGCCCAATGCTCTCCATTGTTATAAAAATATGATGCAAGGGAACACTTTTCTCTCTAAAACTGAAAAAGCTATCAATGGTGACGATTTCACCAGTTTATATCCACTGAACCAAACCGTCTTCGAAACGAGGAAGGCAAAGTCTGTGCAATTTTTAAAAAAACCTGGGTATTGCTACTTTCGGTACTCTCTGTTGATGTTCTGGGCAGTTCCTTGTCAATGTTCCCTGGCCTTACTCCTGCTTTAACTCGCCTCCGCCTCGATCCTAAATAGTACTGTACATGTCCTGCAGTCTTGCCGCAGTGCAGGTTTCAAATCTAGGACTCCTCCGCACTATAGCAAAATAGGCACATCCTAATGTGGGAATATCACAAAAAGTCGGCTTATCGTAACACACACAACATTGGGTGCATGCTATTCATCATTTTATTATTCATTTTAATTCAACCTATACCACTCCTTTGGGATAAAGCTATCTTTGGAATAACATTTTGGCGAACTGATATCCCCAAATAAACCTGGCCTCAGCGCGCGCAGCAGGTCAAATCAAGATGGCGGCCCCCATGGGCAACCTCGACAGCGAACTTGGGCTATTTTTATAAAACCGAGTGAAGTTGTTATACTTCAATATAACGATAAAATTGAACGGCAGAGGTGTTTCCAAATAATGTCGAGGAGAATATTTTCGTTATGTTTATCCTGTCCGAAATTTGCATATCGAAGACTGTGCTCTTCAAATGACGGACTGAATGCAAAGGTAGGCCTAGGCTTTACATACATGTATTTCGTTCACGACACATACCCCGGGAGACACTGCATTATCTCATGCATGCATGGTGGTTGAACTTAAGGCTCTTCATGTCGTTGGTGGCGCTGTTTACATTGGACGGGGTATTTTTATCATGATCACAAAAAATGAACATGTTGATGCAATTGCAATACATGTAATGAGTTTTAAATACTTCACCCCTTTTCAGATTTTTAATACACGTGTCTGCCGTCACCTGCAGATATTGTGATAATAATGGTAGGCCTACCGAGAAAAAAATCCTGGAAAATGGATGAAGTTTAATGTTTGAGGCCTTAGGGGCTGGGGTGAAATGAAAATGATTTTCCAAGACAGCAACCATATGAGAGGAAAAATACATTAATAGTTGAAAGTGTTGAGGATGTATCAAATTAACTTGGCAATAAATCAAAGATGAGATGTCACTACACTTAAATCTGTGCGCACAAACAACCCTAAATTGGCTGGATTCTGGACAGATTTTGGTATGTACATGTAGGAGTTGATACGCATGGCTAAAGTGACTTTAATTTTTCACACAAATATCTGACTTGAAATCAGGCCAAGTAACTTATCAGTGTTATAAATATACATATACACGTAGTTTTAATAACACTTTTGTATGCTTTATCACTTCAACCTGTTTCATTTTCAGATACCTCCCAAACCAACATGGAAAGAAATTGATCCAACCAAGATGCCAACGGTATGATAATGAGCACAAAACATCTGTAACTGGTATGACACACTCACAGGCTTTGGAAACCAGCCATTAAAATAAATTCTGCATTAATAAACACGCCATTGCCAAATGATACCATTGTCAACTGGTATGAAGTTCTTGACAGAATCACAAACAAGGTATTGGGCACTTGCCTTCTCCAGTAATCTTGATCAGTGATTGTAACTCGGAATTGAATTTTAATTCAAGGCATTCGGGATCTTTATTATTATTATTATTTACTTCTGGTAACGACACCAAGGATTCCTCAAAAGTGCCCTAGGCACTGTTGCTTACAAGCCTGAAGAAACCTGTAGAGAGGAGAGAATGAGAAGCAATTACAGTTTTAGAGGTGGGAGGAAAACCCCAGAGGAATATTCTGGGTAAAACCCACAGAATCAGGTAGGGACTGAAAACCCAATCCACATGTGGACCGAGCCGGGAGGTGGAAGGCGAGGAAAGAACCACAGCGCCACCCCGACTAGGCAACCAATCATTGCATTTATGATTGTAACAGCCTTCCCTCAGCATGCTTTGCATTACCTTTTGGTACTACAGGAGCCAGTCATTGACGAGCAGACCATCCAACGCTTGGAGAGACTAGCCCTGGTGGATTTCAACAATGTGGCTGGCATACGGAGGCTGACAGAAGCCATTAAATTAGCCGATCAGATTCTGACAGTGGACACCACTGGTGTGGAACCCATGGACTCGGTTTTGGAGGACAGGTAATTTATACTTTTCTAACCAGCAGAGGTGAAGGGAAATCATACCCCTGTATTTTTGTCCAGTTTCAATGAGGAAAACACATACAGCCCAACCCTGACGAGGAGTTAAAAATACACAATCCTGCTTATATGAAGGAAATTTTAGTTCTCAAATCTTTGCTTTCTTTTTTTTCTATTTGTGAAAATACAGTTTACCATTTTTTTATAAGGTAATTTGTGAAGTCCCAACCAGATTTATAATAGGCACTGGTCCAACACTGGACGAGGCATATTAAGTGCAGTATTGTTCTGTTGGCAGGACTTTGTATCTCAGAGAAGATGAGGTGACTCAGGGAAACTGCGCAAAAGAAATTCTTCAAAATGCAGCAAAGACCTGTGAAGAATACTTTGTAGCTCCCCCAGGTTTGCTGACTTCATGTTCCAATTGTCAATCGTTCAAAACTAAGAATAGCAAATACTGCATGAATAATGACACAAGAATGTAAATTCTTACAAGAAACAGGTTAAAATTGCATTATCAATTGCTTTCCATATTTCCAGGTAACATTCCCTTGCCTTCTAAGCCTGTGGCCAGATATGACGAGACACAGCAATCAGACAGGCAAGATGATTACTGACAGCAGCTGAAGAAGGGATGTAAGAAAAAAAGGGTGGGGCAAGAAGTTTGATGGTGGACACTGGACAGGGTAGCCAGGGGCCGGTTGGGGGAGTACGCCAGTCTTGATCTATACCAAAGGGGGCAAGGGCAAACATGCCAAAACTTAACGTTCTTGGTGTAGTTCCCTGCCCTATGTGAGCACCAATCAACTGTCCTGTAGCCTCTTACCTTTAGACAAGAAGAAAGGGCTTTGGAGATCAATGCATTGTTTTTGGATACTCACCTTTCAAGGAATGATCCCTTTTTCCTCGTTGTTTTGATCAAAAAGAGCACACTTTTTCTCCAGACTCCCCCTTCAGCCCACCAAGAGCGCCCAAACCGAAATGGGGACAAAAAAGACGACTTCTGTGCTAGGTATTACATGCCTCTTGACCAGTGGGGTTCTCTGAATTGGTAAGCGTATGTGCGTGTTGAGGTCGGCAAGGTGCAGCAGTGCATGTGAATGCAGTTCTGGCATCTCCTCGGATCACTTTCTTGGCCTTTTAAATTTTTTTTTTTACGTACACAGTTCACTAACCCCTTCCCCCAGTGTACGGTTTGGACACTTGTGAATGTGACCAAAAACTGATCACCCCTAAATGGATTGAGAAAACGTCTCTTGAATTTTTTTTTTCATCTTTTTTTTCTCATTCAGATGTAAAGCTAGTCAGTTAGAGAAGACACTATGAATAGCCTAACAAAATTTGAGTAATGCCGATTTTGTTTCACTGAAAATTCTGAACATTTGCAGGTTATTTAAAATTGAGGTTGAACAAGTCAATTCAACTTCGATGGAACTTGAAAGCATGAATAAAATATGTAAAAAGAACTCCTTCTATTGTCTCAAATGCCTCCTTTGTTTTAAAGGTTTATGAACAGATCTCTCAATTTAAAATGTCATTTTACATCATGCGGTTTAGACATTTTATGACAGAAAAAGAAGGGCAACTGGAAGAAGAAAGGAGTGGTCAGTGAAGATGGGTACATCTTTCAAAGACAGAAGTATATGTAAAGGCGTCTATCGTGGGCTGGCAGACCTACAGATACATGTAGCAACTACAGTGTATTTTCTGAGATATTTAGGTCTTGTGACCACCATCATGCCACTAAAATGGGAGAATTCTTTCCTGTTTCTAAACACTGATGAAACTGGCTAAACTTTCTGGACCTACTTTGTTGATTTACGGGTACTGTCAGTATTTGCAAATATTTTCTACCCTAATGCATTATAGTTCAAATAAAAGTTCAAAATTTCTTGGTTACTATTTCCTACACTGGTCTCCGCTTTTGCACAGTTTACGCCGACGGGTTTGACATGGAGGTGAGAGCTCTGTGTCTCAAAACAGAAGAGCCATCCTAGACATGGCATCATGTGTTCCTTCGGTGGACAATAAGTACCTGCCATTGATACGGGCCCACACAAAATCTGCCGACAAACCACAGTACACACGTTCAATGACTATGGCAACATATGTACATGTAGTCGTGTTCCTTTTGTGTACCCCTCACTGGTTCAAACCTACCATGTGGGCTTTCCACAACTGGGCTCTTTCTCTGCACCAGAGAATTTCTTTCTCTACGTTCAGGCATTCTGGCTCTATGCTGCTTCTCAGAATGCGGCACTATATCCTTTGACAGTTGTTTTTCTGTGATTTTAATCTGCCTCAATTATTTCTGGCAATTGTTGAATTCCCCTTACTGGAGCACTTCCGTACGATTGGTGTTCCTAGATTTCAGCTTTCCTTGTTTACAATGATAAAATCTTATCAATATCGACACTCCACTGAAATTGTGGTCCACTTTCCACAAAGGAATCCTTTGACTTTTTCATGAAAAATCCAGTGCTAATTCTACGAATCTGGATCCTGTTATGGCTCTGAGGAAGAGACTTCCAGCTGTACAGAATATCCTTCATGAAGCCCAATATCCTCCTGTTTCCTTTTTGTAGGGGACCTCCTCGGAATTTTTCTGACGGATAATTCTCTCCTCATGTCATGGCAGTCACATCTTGTTTGGGTCCCATAAAAAACAAGGACATCGGATTCTGTGTAAAGACTGACTGCCTTGTGATTTCCAGGTTTTCCATTCAAATTCCTAATTTTTATGTCAAGGTGCGTCCTCTCTTCACTCACAATCCTTCTTTATCCAACAATGATCTGACCTTCAAAATTGAAAAACAAAAGTTTCAAAATACGGTTAGAGATATCCTGCAAAAGACTACATGCAGATCCTCTACATGAACCCCACCAAGTGAAAGTCCCGGTTTCAACACAAATAAGCACGGTTATCACCTTCTGACAGTACTTAGCAAGATGCAAAAAGAGGACATGATTTACATGAGCTGGAAAATTAATGTTATCTTCCTTTCAGAAAATAATGAAAACGTAAAAAGAACATAACTGACAGACATGGGTTTCTAGGCAAACAAAAATGCCAAAAATGCATTTACTTTTCCCAAAAAAAGATACCACTTTGAAAAAACACTTATTTAATTATCAACTCAGTAAACAGTTTTCACAAATTAAAAATGTCACATCAAACTACTAATCCATAACTAAAGCACGCTCAAGTAACAGGACAAACATCATGCTATGTGATAAAAATGTATAAACGTGTTCAACCCCACAGAATTAAAAAAATACCAATGATTATAAAGTACAAAATATTACATCAATATCTGGAGTACATGTTTGAATCACTACCTAATGAAGCTGAGACAAATTTACATTTGATTTTTTTTTCTTTTTACGTCCTTGGATTGGTGATTCATCATAAAATGGCCAAATATTGAAGGATCAAATATGCTTTCCACAAATGGTGTGTATCATTGGAAGGAAAAATCTGCCTCAGAAATAACTCAAACATGCTACAGAATGCAATATTTTTTTAATCATACCAGACTACCAGTACCATCAAGTCCGTCCGTGATTTGTCCCAAACTTGGCATTGGTTCAAAAGCCTGTTCCTAGTGGCAGTCCTTTGTTTGCCCAAAAAAGTGGCTGCTCCAAACTCAGTGCCCTCTTTTCCTGATCCAGCCATGACAACCAAAATCTGTTCTAAAAAATCCTTCCTTTGACTCCTCGATTCCAGTGCTTATCCTAAGGAATCCAGAATTCCGAATGTCCATCCTTACGGCACTGAGGACATTGAAAAAATACAAAAGGTTGTGAAAACACAGGTCCTGAGAGGAGATCTTTTTGAGGCCGTCTAAAATGTTGTGAATGTTGTACATGTGATTGCCCATTGCTTGAATAAAAAATGCCAGGAGTGTTTCAACCAATCACAACCAAGATGAAGCACAATATGGGTCTGTGACTTGACTGTGTGGACATAAGACATCAAAGCTAATAGGTGAACTGAATGGACAAATCTTCTGTTACAATATCCTGAGAAATGAGCCAGAAATGGTTTGAGGACATGGATGTCCACACAGGTGGGACAAGATGAATTTGATCTCTCTTGCAGGCACGGATCTACAGGGGGCTTTGGCCCCCAAACTTCTGTGCAGCCCCCCTTCCCGAAAAAATAGCAAAAATGCAAAAGTTGCCGTGAAAGTTAAAAGGTGAGGTCACATGTTCTAGAACCGCGCCTGCTCTCCTGGAAAAAATTATCTTACAAAGAGGCCAAATTTGGGTCATGAGTTGATTGTCTTAACTGTCCTATTTTTAATTAGAAAAGAAACTCTCATTTGTTTTATAAAAAATTACAAATTGCTTATGCTAGTCTATGCCTAATGTAAACGTAGTTTGTACTTCCAATGCAAATTCAATTCCTGAATACATATTCAAACAAAACACAGCTTCTACAATTATCAAAGGGGAAGTGTAAATTTTTAATAGCAGAATTGTAAGCAAACATTAATTGGTGCATAAACATAGATTTCAAGCTCAACGAATGCCAAAATCACAAGCTTTAGCCATACTGGACTTCTTTAAAAAGTATCTACGTTATATTAACAAAAAAATGATCATGTGTTACAGCCTTTTAGGCCATTAACCTCAACCACCCAGTATCCATCAAACTCCAACAGCTAGGTATTGGCAGGTTTGGTACTAGACCCGTTTAACTTCTTGTTGAATTTGTTGGACTTGGTGTTAGATTTTGTGTAAGTTGGAACACACAGGGATCACTGTGAGCAGTGTTTGGCTTGCTGTACCAAGTGTTCAACTAGGCTTGATTTTCTCAGGTTTGTTTACTGGTTAGTGCAAGTCATCCAATACTGCATAGACCCATCCGTACCGTATCACTCAAACTCCCAACAGAGTCATTTTGTTGGAGTTTATCAGGTTTGGTACAGTGACCTGCATATACAAGTACATGTGTCTGTTGAAGTTTGTTGGGTTCAGTATACCCCTAATGCAAGAGCCGGAGGGGGGGGGGGTTACGGTTAAAGTCTCAACCTGAAAAGACGAGGGCCTTCACTTGCATAATGAGGACTTAATAAGGCATGCTCTAATTTTGTCTTGTGAAGTGAAAGGTAGGCTGGAGTCCACGTCTGTAGTTGTAGACAGAAGGAATATGAAACAGATACCGGCATGTACTTCTGAATGACCTGTTATAGATTGACTCTGATTTGAACACCTGTTCTGGGGTTTGGGGGGATTTTGTGGTGTAAACCAACCTTGGTCTCCCATGTCCTTTTTGAAATTGGCATCCGTACTTCCTTGTTTGGGTCACTACGTTCGATCGCCCATGTTGTTAGGACAGACTTTTAACGAGAATGGGAACGGCTGCGGCTGTCGCGGCCCCTGGATCGGCTGCGGGACCTGGACCTGGAGTAGGAGCGCCGAGAGCGCTTGGGACTGTAGGAGGAACGTCTCGGGCTTCGCCTGGGGCTGTAGCGCCTCGGAGACCGACTTCGGGATCGGCTGCGTCCACCTTTGTAGTCAGTTTTCACACGAATGTAAGATGTGTCACCCTGCACGAATGAAATGAAAAAAACAAAATACAGTTAATTCTCACTACAAATTTGCTGGCAATAGTCCAATATGGGCAATTTACAATACAGTGCTCAACCAAGACGTTGCCACAAAGAGGTAATTTTTCAGGTGTATAGTTGGCAAAAACACGGCCAACATGTCGCGATTTGTAATTGAGCAAATGTCTCCACAATCTGCAGGAAGATGGTAAAGCCATCTGCCACACTAAAGCATTAAATGATCTAGCTTCCTCTTAACTGAAACTACCTCATGTGAATGAAACTTGGTGTCATCAAGCGACTTGCAGGCAAATCGCATGTCCTCTTCCCTGACAAACTCCACTACACCAGTGCCATCTCGGTATACATCTGCGTAACAGACATCACCAGCCTCGCGCATGTGGTCCTTCAAGTCTTGCCAACTACCAGTAGAAGGCAGTCCTGGGGAAACAAAAAATCAAATCAAATCAAACTTGTAAACAGGTGGGAGTGTCGCTCTGAATCAAAGGGATGCCTTACAAGTCATTCAAATCACTTTCCTGAATCATGCAGAGTCCCTACGTGCATCCATCACACTGTCAACATGAACAGATTTTGCTGGAATGGAAGCCACCGGCACTCCATATGGACAGCAGACTTGTAATTTCTAAGTGACACTTTTATCCTACATCAGAAAATGGAGAGATTACCAAAACTATTTTCGTCCGAGTACAATTCGAGACACGAAGCCACAAAATGCGTCCCTTTTAGCCTCTATGAACTTCTTTGCCTACAATCCCCCCCCCCCAAAATGTATTATTTCGAGTTCACCTCATGAGAGCAAACTGAGATTACTTGCAGATTGGTAATGTACATGTATACCCAAGTCAACAGTATGGGTAACAAAAGGCAAGTAATCAAACACTCTTCATATGACCAAGCCTACACTACTGCGGGAGGGGTACAGCCACCCCCAGCACTTTATCTATACCTCTCCTTTCCAACCTCGGTGCCCTCAATTTGAAATTTCAAAATGGACAGGTCACACTTACATTGCTTTCAAAACGGGTGTGCTCAAGATGAGCCCTCAGTATTTCCACCCCCGTTACACCACTTTTTGTACATGTATGTACCTTGAGGGGCCGCGTTCAGATTTTGCTGCACGCTGACTTGGAGGCTATGTTACATCCCAACGATAGTTGGGCTGGCCCAACTCCAGCATAGAGTGCCAGTGTGTGCCACAGCATGTGCTGTAATCATTTTGTTCACATAAACAATTAGTGCTTGCAGACACAAGTTTTACACAAATCATGCCAGATGTGCATATTTTGGATGAATTATTTCAGGTAAGAGCTGCATAAAACTAGGAAATGGTTGAGAAGTTTTTTAATAGAAATTTGCCGAACATAGTTGGGGCAGGCCAACTGTAACACTGTAATACATGTACATGTAGTTGTAACTGTCCAAACTATAGTTGGGGCAGACACTATAGTTAGGACAGACACTATAGTTGGGACTGACACCTTAGTTGGAACAGACACCTTAGTTGGAACAGACACCTTAGCTGGGGCGTAACAGCTACATATACATGTACTTAAGATGAATTCGAGTTGGCGAATGCGAGTGTTGAAGCACCTGATATGATACATCGGTAGTCAGATCTCCTGGGTGGGGGACCACCCCTTCTCCCCCCACTGTAGCCTCCTCGGGGCCCATCACCGCGAGGGCGTTCAACCCGTAGTCTGCAGTTGTCGAAATCGCATCCATTTCGGTAGTAGATTGCGTCTTCAGCATCTCTGCAATGTAAAATAGGGATATTATAAAAAAGACAAGAGAGTTCCCCCAACATCAGATCAGAAGCCAACTTGTCCGCTGTGCACACATATTGGAGAGCACAATCCAAGTCACCGTGCATGCTTGTGGAATTGCCAACGTAGGCCTAGAAATTTTTCCCAACTTTGTTTGTGATTTCTTGATTGATTAATGCAATCCACAAACCTCTAGAATACCACTTTTTGGATTTGTTACACCCCAGAACTGGGCAGTTTGTTGTCTGCTACGCCCACGTTCGTGGGATTGTGGCAGATGACAAATCCCACAGTTCTAAGGGTACAACAAATCCCAAAATTCAAGGGCATGTAGGGGAAAGTCAATGTCATTACAACATAGTTGAAGGGACATTCGGGGCGAAAAAAAGTTAGGGCCTACTTTGTAACCAGAACTGTTATATCATGAATGGAAAAGCAGAGAAAACAAAAGAATTCAAGAAATTGGGGTTCTCAAAATTTATTCATTGTTTCGTTACTGCAGCGTTCTTTAGGGCCTATATCGAGAGTTATCTGCATTCACAGTATATTGGAAAATCAACCCCATTTTGATGTTGCTTGGCATGATCAGTCATGTCAGTGTGATCTATGCAATCTGAACATGCTACATGCATGACATAGAAAGATTTCTGTATCTCACCACCGAGATTTCTTGAGTTTATAAAATAATGACCTCCGACATGCTCAAAGCAACTTTTCCTCGATTCAGTTTTTACCAACACGACCAAGGTGAATGGAAAGAAACTACAATTATACAATTTGATGTCTCAAAGTGGCAGCAAAGCTAACTATTGCTGTCATAAGCCTTATTGCTAATACCGCATGCCTGATTTTGCACAACTGTGGAAAGGCATTGTGGGATGGAAAAAGGAACAATGTTTGCCACTTTTTCCTTCCCATGATGCCTTTCTACTATTACTAATGACTATTGTGCAAAATCACCATCACTTTTGCAATGTTAGCTATAAGGCTTACACTCATGGCTGCTTAGCGGAAACCTATAAGAATAAGTTTATCAACAAATAAACCATGTTAACCATGCTAACTCGGTTACGACTAACATAACCATAGCCTAGTTTTCATGTTCAGGTGCTTGTTGAACACGAAACAGAAGCGTTATCGCTAATACCGCACAGAATGATGGATTTTCTTTTGAGAAAAATTGTTCTGAAGAGAAAAATTGCTGAGCGTTGCCATTCCGTGGAGGGGCTCATGAATATTGAATAAAAAAGAGGGCCTACTATCTGGGTTGATGTCAAAGGTCAAACAGGCCACGATGAAGTGAAATATTTTTCTAACGTCACCACGAGAGATTGATGGAAACCGCAAAATCACCACGATCGGTAATTTGGCCTGCAGTTTTTGGGAACATACTTGAAGAAAATGTGATCGGTCCAGTCGTAATAGGATGATGGTTTGGCGGTGCTTTTTTGCACTCTTTTTCAAAGCTTGTGTTGCACATCGAAATATGGATTTTACTTGCTTTTTTTGCAGACCTATGAGGCGTCGGACTTATGAGGTGTCAGACTTATGAGGCGTCAGACTTATGGACTTTTTTTAAATGAAATGCCTTGTTTGGACTTATGAGGCGTTTGACTTACGAGCTGATCCCATACATGTATGTATGGGCGATATGCTACAGTTGATTAATCTGGATAAAAAATACTCTTTTTCAGCAACATAGGAAAACTTGAGAAAGGCTGTAAGATGATGACATTACGAACATATTCAGGGAGAATAGACCATCATTAAACGAGGAAACAGATGTACACAAGATCGTTGAGCTGAGTTCTGGCTTGAAGATGATTAAAACTAACAACTTCTAAATGTCCACATCCTCACCTTCTGTCCTCAAATTCAATGAAGGCAAACGCCGGTCCAGGGGACCTGTTCTTCAGGTCAATGTTAGATATCCTGCCATACTTAAAAAATAAATCTTCCACCTCCTTCTCCCTGATGTTTGATGGCAAATTGCCGACGTAAATCCGACAGTCTGATGACTGGCGGCCGTACGACATTCTCGGTTCGGTAGGGTATGCAATATATACTCTGATAAACAGGATGTTTCGACAACTAACAGTGATAGTTCACTCCTAAATTACGTCTTGAACAGATTTTCACTGTCCACAGCAACACTTGACTTGAACAATGAGAACAAATCTGCAAGATTAACGTGCAAACTCGCCGGGCAACTTTCACAAGAACGCAGTTGACTTCACTGAGCTTCGAGTGGAAGCCACGTGAATTTTCCGCGTCGGTGTTGAAGTCTGATATTTGCCGCATACGTATTTACAGTATCTCTATGAAAACAGACGCCCGAGAACCAGACTAAAATTATATCGATTTCCGTGAAAGGTCAAGCTGTGTCCGAACAAGTGTGGCTACGGCTAGGGTTCGAAATACATGTATTACGCGTGCGCCGCGGCTACGATCACGCGTGCCCACAGTAAGTACGTACGCGCATGCCATGTACATGCACTATTACAGTATCGTCAGGGCCCCCGAAATCGGTCAACGCAGATATTTCTACGCGCGCTTCCAGTGAACATTTTGCGGACATGCGCGATATTGATGAACAGCCAGGGGTCACTTGTATTGTTTGTCCGCGTTTAAAAGTTTTGCAACAGACTCCAGAATGTTTGAAATCAATCATGTAAGTTAGGTTAGGTTATGTGTAAAAGAAACTAACGACCCCTTTTGACAAATTTTCCTGGATACAAATACTAGAGGTCATGTCACAAGTCTTCATGTCATTTAACAGTTCGCCCTCATATTTGTCTTGGATGTGTTTTTAACGTGTCATGTGATGTCATTAATTTTATTGACTCAATGAAGCGCGCACTTGGATGCAAATAGTACGGAAGCGTACGGAAGGGTATATAGGACATGACTGAAAAAAATTTCTGCCCTCTAACCTTGTGAAGAGACACGGGGGTGTAGGATAGGTGGGAGGGCCCCGGCCCGAAGGTGAACCGGGATT